GTCCCTTCTGACCCTACCAACTATGAAACATAATTGTCTTCCCCACATGGAAACGCATATCTGAGCTTCAGTAGAGTGTGTTGATCCGACGATGGCTGATGGATAGGTCTCATGAGCCATCTTCAGACACACAGATAAGACAATCCTGGAAGACAATTATCCTTGACTGTGAGGGATTGTGGAAGAAGAAGAATTTAATATGTGACTGCTACAAGACCTCTTTGAACTTTTAAGTAGCATAGGGCAGTGCAACTAAGTGAGGATCAGGCCTTCAAGCTTCTGTTTATCCATAGATAGGGACCACTTAATTTGTGGTGAGACAATGCCATTTTTGTGGCTTTGTCCTAGCACGAAGAGCCAGTTTCATGAAAAGCCCACTCCTTGGTGCTGATTGGCAGAGAGACCCTGGCCCTGCAATCTTCTGATTGGTAGAGAGGTCACAGGGAGGGAGGGAGAAGAGGAGGCAGCCATCATCTTGACTTTTGGTTGCCCTTTGTCTGGCAAAGCCCCTGAGTGCTGATTGGTGGAGAGGCCCCATGGGGGAGATGGGAGGGAGAAGAGGGAACCACTATCTTGTCTCCTGGCACCGTTTTGTCTGCTGCCCCTTTTATGCCGCTCTGGCAGCTGGCGCTTTCCTTTCCCAGGCAGGCTGTAAGGCCCAACTGGGTGGGGAAAACTTAATAAAAACTTTTATTAAGTTTTTTTCCCTCCTGGATTTCATAGGCAACACTGGATTCAAGGTTTCCATGAAATCCGCAAAACTGCAGTTTAGGTAGGTCCCTAGCCATAGAGCATGTACAAATTGGCTTTTCCCACTGTGCTCCACAAATGAGCCTTCACCCTGACCTATTGATTTCCATTGCTCTTGGCTCTTCCAGTATTCTTTCTCAGAACATCATATAAATTTTATTTGCTGTTCTTATCAGGCTATTTGATTTAAATCTGTTTAGCTTCTTGAAGCTGAAACCATGCGGCATATCTTCATGAACAATTACCATCTGTGCAATGAAATTAGTGAGAGAGTAGTGCAACACTTTGTACACTGTATAGAGACACATGGACGTCACGTGGAATACCTGCGTTTTCTGCAGACGATTGTAAAAGCAGATGGCAAATATGTGAAGAAATGCCAGGATATGGTAATGACAGAGGTATGTTAACTGTTCATATTATATCTGCTTAGCACATATACTAATATTCTGAGGTTGCCTTCCTCTACTCTTAATGCCAACAAGACGTGCTGGCATTATGGATTTAGAATTTGAAATGTTATCATGAATAATGAATATTTTAGCATACATATTTTTGAACTGCATCTAATTTGGTAAGGCCATCTGTATAAGTACTAGCTGTAAAACTTGAGTGCAGTGGTGGTGGCATAGAGAGTTCTGTTTTGAAGTAAGAGCCCTGGAATGCCTGTTTTTCTTACTCAGGCCTTCATTCTGCTTCATTGTATCTTAGCTCCCTATCCACACAGCCATATTTACTACCTTGTGGCACTTTATTACAATAATCCTATGTGCAGCTTGGTCCAAACTGTATTACAATCACTTTCTGGGATCCTATTATAGTCCCAGGTATCAGATTCTGATCTCAGTTCCATAGAGTAATTCTGGAGCATCTGTGTTGAAGCCATTGGATTACTCTGCATTTATTTTAGAATGGGGGTGTTAAACTTATCTGATCCCAGGGGCTGGATGAAGGTCGCTGGGCCAGTGTGTGGGCCAGATTGAGAGCGACTCCCTTTGGTGCAGACAGCACCAGGTTCAGCCCACACATCGCATGCAAAGTGAGGCCCAGAGCAGGGCTGGAGGCAGTGCACAAAGCCAGTTTGGTGTAGGCACCATGTCCAGGCACACCCTGAACTGATCCCCCACCATGCTGCTTGCAGTGCCTGTGGTGTTGCGTCCAGCTCGTGTGCCACGTGCAGTTGTGGAGTCAGTTTAGAGACCCATGGGCCAGATCATATGGCTTCATGGGCCACTTGTTTGACACTCTGTCCTAGAATAAGTAAGTTTAGAATTGGCATGGTAAAGTTCACCGTGTGGTCTTTTAGGGCCAAATCCTGTTGTCACTGAAGTTAATGAGAAAGTACCCATTTGACTCCACTTCGAGCACTGCAGGTAGGTTTTGGTAGGATCAATGCCCAAGTGCCATTTTCATTCCTTTGCGAAGCACTTTTTTTTCCTTCTAGAAAAAGAAACTTAAAGACAAAAACAGAGATGAACTAAAGTCAGGATTTAAACAGGTCTGAAACTTACACAAAATTCTCTTCACAATAATGAGGAGGAAAAAATTCTTATTAAGAAAATAAAACTTCTTCCTACATGGGTAACCTTTAATGAATTGCATTTCAACCTTTTCGGTTTGACTGAGGTGTTTAACATATTATATCAATTACGAGACTTTGATTTACATAATTCAAGCAATTCTTGTGCATTAGTGCTCTCAGATTTTTTTATTTTACTCTCAGTTTCTTGTAGGTTTTTAGCTTCTAATCAAACATAATTTTTGGCTTTTCAATTCAAATATATTTTTGTTAATGATCTATAATAGCACAGAGATAAATTGCTGTATTACATCTTCAAGCTGAATACATGATGGAAGTAGAAATGAACTTAGTTGTGATATTTAGATCATAAATCCTTCAGGAATTAGCAAGCAAAGTTTAAAAACACAAAACAAAACAAAAAAACCCAAAAAAGGAATCATCTTAAGGAGTAACCTGTAAGAGAGTTATACAGTTACAGTTAAGCAGTTATTAGTTATAGAGTAATGATTTAAACAAGCAAATATGGGTATTATTCCGGAAAGAGGAAGCACAGGATCTAACAGTTTTGATGCAACTGGTTCACTTCGTGATATAACACTAGTGACCTAACTAGTTCCTCAGTCTCCCTATCTCTAATGTAGAAGTTAGAATGTTTGACTTTTTAGAAGTTACAGTTTTTGGCTATTTTTTAGGCTTGTTAGTGTTTTATATTAGGAGAGTGCCAGGAGGTTCTGGACATATAGCTTTATCTTAGTGTTAAAAAGGAGAACTCGGACTTTATCCAGCTCATTGCAACAACTGTTTTCTAGTCTGCAATGTTCCAGAATGCGTTGTAAAGTCTCAGTAATTAATTTAAAACTGACATTAACCTCCATCTTTTTTCAACATATTTTAACTGGTTAGTTTAGACATACTCATGTGTCTGCTACCTTTTCTTAGTTACTATTCTCATTGAAATCAGTGGGGATTTTATCTGATTTATGTTGGGTACTTTTAAAAAGTTTCTTTGGTGAGGATTTTCAAGTACATTTTCCTGGATACTCAGTTCTCCTATTTAGATGATCGTTATGTCAGTGGAGAAATTGTGGAAAACTTGGAAAAACAGATTTTTTTTCTTTCATTGCTTTTTAATGATAATCAGTTTGTTCTGCTTGCACTGTAAATACTGATGTAGAACTTGGAATTTTGCATGTGCTGTTTTTACTTTCAGACTTAGAGGTCCCTCACAGTCCCCACAACTAATCTTGCATTCTGTTGCCTTTCCAACTTCTTGTTTCATACATTCAATATGTTATGTTTGCATAAGATTTAGTCCTCATTCTTCAGCAGTGGAACAGTCTGCATGTGCAGCATAGGGGATACATTGCTTTTTGTTTTGACCAGCAAAAAACTCGGGGCCAGATTGTGCCTATATTGTATATATCTGAGCCATTTTTGGATAGTATGAAGAGTATTCTTCCTTCCTTTTATATTATCTATGTAAGGACTAGGTACTACACAAGGCTGAACTATAGAAAAACAGTTTCATGGAAGATTTTAAAAGTTGGTTCCATCTCCCAAGGTTTTACACAGAACATTAAAAAAAAATAATAATATTTTTAGTAATTTGAATATTCAGAATTTCAGATTTTAAATAATTGTTTCCCGTTTTATCTTTCCTTTGTGCCGTGGAGTGCAATAAAATAAGATTTATGTTGTTATTTCCCCTCCTTATACTTTTTCATAATTTCTTCTTTTATTGCTGCAAATATTCCAGAAATTGAAGAAGTTTTGAAAAGTGGAGTAAAAAGAGGAATAAGTATAAAAGGAAAGTTAACCCATGGGGGGGGGCAGGAATGCTAGATACCATGCACTCTATTGTATCTATTTATAAAAAGGAAAAAAAGTGAGAAATGGAAAAAAACCCCCCAAAATCAGAGCAGTCAGAATGTCAGCACTTGTAATTTTTCACTATTGGAAAAATCTGGGAAAATGGGTGAGATGGGTGTTTTTCAGAAGGTTTCTGCATTTGCATAGCTTTCATCCTCTCTATGACCCCAAACATTGTCAAGTGAAAGTTTAAGCATCTCTGTCAGGCAGTCACTGCCATTGGATTTAGTGAGATCATGATTTCATCCATGCCCTTCTGAACATTTGCTCACAACAGATGTGGGCCTATCCCTACAAACACTGCCAAACAAGTTATTCAGTACTACCAGAGCTGCCTGGGGGCTATTCCTTTCCAACTCTCCTAGGAATACACTATACCCAAAGGGGACAGAGAGAATGCAGGACTCTAGGCACTCTACACTGGTCTTCAGAGAAGTATACATCCGTGATTGGTATACTGCTCTTTTCCCTCCATTCAAACCTTGCTGCAGCATGCTATTTCTAACTCTGGGTTGTATCCAAATGACACATCTGAGCCCAAGGATGAAATATTTCCTTGTATTGCTCCACCATCAGCTATTTATTGCTGCACCATGTACTTCCATTTAAAAGGAGTCACTGCCATTGCAATAACAATGCTGGGGCACTAATTTCAATCTGTGTTATGGAGGTAAGGGAAGGACAGTCTATCTTTCAGGCAGTGTATGAAGACTCAGAAGTCCTGTGTTTAAATTCTTGTTGCTGGTTTACATCCATAGATTTCCTGTGTGAGTTCTGACATAACATTTAATTTGTTCCTCAGTTCCTTTTCTGTAAACCATTGATAACAACGTGCCCTTATCTCATGTGTATTGAGAGATTAGACTAGGTACTGTTTAGTAGGTGCTTAAATAATAGAAGTGCTGAGGCCTGTATCTGTATTTAACAGACAGATTGACAGACATCTGGACTGAGTTTGTTGAAATCCTTCTGCATCAGCTGACTTTGACTTTGGTGGAGTTATTCCAGTTTTGCATCGATGCAACTAAGATCAGAATCTGGCCCTAAATCTCCACTTTACGTGTGCATTCCATTAGTCAAATTCTATTCTTCTAAGGCTGTCTGTATTGCCAGAGAGTAATTTTGCATATTGCAAGAGAGAACAAATCATTTGTATCCAGTGTGGAGCACTTGAACAGCTGGGGAAACTTCTATATTATCATTTCAGCTGATAAATGGAGGTGAAGATGTGCTGATATTTTACAATGATAGAGCATCATTTCCAGTTCTCCTTCAAATGATGTGCTCAGAGCGAGACCGAGCAGATGAGAGTGGACCTTTGGCTTACCACATCACACTAGTGGAGTTGCTAGCAGCATGTACAGAAGGGAAGAATGTATATACAGAAATCAAGTGTAATTCACTCCTGCCATTGGATGATATAGTGAGAGTGGTGACCCATGATGACTGCATACCAGAGGTAAGCCTGAGTATTCAGTGACACCACTGAAAATCCTTGCCTCTTGAAATAACAACACATTTACACAGCTTCTGAAAACCAATTGTTTGAATATGTGCCCAGAAAACAGTCTCACTGGTTCAGCTAGGCTGTATGTTAAGCTGCATCAATGAGAAAATAAATGAGAACCTTTCTGAAAGCAAGCTGTTTAATGGTAAGCTCTGTTTCTCTGTTGTTAAGACCCTAAGCTCTTTTTCTTTTGCCCCACCTAGAACAGGCAGGATCTAGTCTCTGACTGTGGCTGGTAGGTTCTTCTGCTGCTCTTGGTGACTGAATTTGCCTTGTTAAATATATCACCATTGCATGAATGGGCTAGAAAAATAGGCTTTGAAATTTTCCCCCTGTTGTAGTTAAGGGGGCTAGAGACAGAAGTTACACACAAACCAGTTTAAGTGATCAGAAACTGGTTTAAATTAGGGCTGACAAACGATTAAAGAACTTAATCAGAATTAATTGCGAGATTAAAAAAATAGTTGTAATTAATTACAATTTTAATCATAGAGTTAAACAATAGTCAGCACCACCCACCCAACAGCCTGGAGCCCATGCACCCTATGGCTCCTCAAAGCTACCACCAACAGTACACAGCCCCAGCCCCAACCCCGGCCCACCCTGTGCCTGCTCCAGACTTGCCCCGACCAGAGAAGACCAGCTGGAACCCATGTGAACAGCCCCAACCCTGGTCTGCCTCGCACTTGCTCCAGACTCACCTGCCCCTGCTGAGCAGCAGCAGTGGCCAGGCAGGACCCCATTTTTTTCTGGGCCATGGGGGCAGGGCCCTTCTCAGCCAGCTGAGCTTCTATCACATTTCCCTTATAATTTAACCTGCATATTTCTAAGCACCATTATCCTTCTTGTAAGAAAAATATATCATTTGGATTTGGATATATTGTAGATATGAGAAACTTTGCATCTCCACAAAATTCAGTTAATAATTACTAGGTCTGTGAGAAGTTTTGGTTGCTGATTCGATTCAGAGGAGATTTGGCCTAGTTTGGTGGCCAAATCTCTGAATCTGAATTGAATCAGGAGACCCATTAATCTCTCCGAATCGAATTGGAAGCCTCCGATTTGTTTTGGAGAGATTCGACAATTTGACTATAGACACAGCTTTATATGTTTTTTCTATATACTTTGAGGTACGAGGCATGGCTCATGAACGTTGACATGGTGGGATGGATGAAGCATCCCATGGGAGCATGGTGGGGTCCCCCGTGTGCTCGGTGGCGGACCCAGAAGTGAACCAGAAGTACATCTGGTCCTTTCAGGTCTGTCACTGAGCATGCGGGCCCCACCCCCCGTGCTCATCTCAGCGTTCACAAGCCATGCCTGGTACCTCGAGGTATGTAGAAAAAATATATAAAGCTGTGCGTATGGCCGAATTGCTGATTCTCCGGATCAGAATTGAATCTTCAGATTTGGATTCATCTGAATCGAATCAGGACAGCGATTCGAATCAGCAAATCAAATCACTGTCCCCCAAATTGGGCTGAATTGGAATCCAAATTGAATACAGCCTGCTTCTCACACACCTAATAATTACTATATGTCTGGCAGCATGCATTGCATGTAGGTAATTAAAAATACCACAGTCCATGCCACTCCTGCACTCATTCCTCACAGTGTGGCTCATGGGTCAAGAGATTATATGGGGCAGGGCCTCATTTTCCTTTTGGGCCATGGGGGCAGCGCCCTTCCCAGCCAGCTGTGGCTTGGGCTGTGGCCACGGGAGCTGTGTGCCCAGGTTGCTCCTGGCTTCCAGTGACCAGGCCGGGCCAGGCTATCATGGAGACATAGCCAGCTGGGAAGGGCCCTGCCCATGTGGCCCAGGCTGGCCCAGGCTGGCCTCTTTGTGCCCACCCTCAGCAGCACCCACAGTTGGCCCAGCTTAGTCCCAGGCAAGGCAGGTGGATAGCGGGGCTGGCCTGGGCCAGGCCGCTGGGGCAGTGCCCTTCCCAGCCAGTTACAGCTCCATGATAGCTTGGTTTGATACGCATGGGTGGTGGCTGGCTGGGCAGTGTTGTGAAGGCGACACCACTGCAGCTGCGGGCAGGTGCCCTGGAAGCCAGACTGGCTGTGTGGGATGAGTTGTTTGTGCCTGAGGCTGCCTGGGCCAGCTTGGCGGCACCAGCGGGCCCAGAGGCTGGCAGCCACTTGCTTTTGGGGCTTGTGTGCTGCCGTTACTGCACCCTCTGCATGGTGCTTACTTATCCATCTGTAGCTGCCACGTGAGACAGATAGGCAGGCACCATGCAAGGGGCATGGTGGTGGTGGCGGTGGTCACCCAAGTCCTTGTGGCAGGTGTCTGTTGGGCTCCGGGCCCACCGGCACCTCCGAACCAGGTTGGGAAGCTGCAAGCATGAAGGGCTCATCCTGTGCAGTCACTCTAGCTGCCAAGGCACCTGCCTGTGGCTGCAGCAGCATCACCTCCATGCCGCTGTCTGGCCAGTGCTGGGCTGGGCTGTCACAAAACTGCAGCCAGCTGGGAAGGGCCCTGCTCCCTCAGCCTGGCTCAGGCCAACCCCACTATGTGCCTTCCTCACCCGAGGCTGAGCAGGGCAACTGTAGGTATTGCTGAGGGCAGGCATGGGGGTGCCGAGCTAGGTTGGGTCATGGGGGTAGGGCCCTAACCCAAACTGCAGCTGGCTGAGATGGGCCCTGCTCCCATGGCCCATCTTGGACCTTCCCCTCCATGTCCATCCTCAGCAGTGCCTGTGGCCCAGTCCAGCTTAGCCCCAGCCCCAGCCCCAGGTGAGGCTGCTGCACAAGTGGCCAGTGGGGCGGAAAGCTGGGCAGACCCTGGCAGAGGTACCTGTGCCCATGCCTGAGAGGGGAAACAGGGAAGTTTAATCCTCCTCCCTGCCCCACTTCATGTGAGGCACTGCTCTGGCCATGCCCTTCCCCTTTGGGGTAAACCTGACAAGGGCTGCTTCCCCCTTCCCCCTCCAGGCATACCCTGGCTGGGGTCCCTGCAGGCCAGGGTAGGGGTTTAAACCCCTCCCCAGTCATATTCAACAGCCTGCCAGAGCCTGCCCCCCACCCGAGAAGGGATGCTTCAAAATGGTGGTGGGGTCATTTTAATTAAAGTTGTTTGATGAGCTTTAGTTTAAATGCCTCTGCCACCATTTTGAAGTGCAGGCTCATGGAATACATGGGCCATGGAGGCTACTGGAGCATGCTAATTAGCATGCTCCTGCAGACTATTAATAGAGTCTGCTCCAATGCGCTGTAATTACAGCGTGTTGGAGCAGCCTCCCGGCACATCTACATGTACCCTATGTTGTGTTCTGATTGTCAAGGGAAAGTGACTATTTGAGGAGGCCCCAGAAAAAAAATAGCTAGAAAGAGGAAGCAAGGAAGGTGGCAAAAAGCAGCCTTTATCTTCTGCTAAATGGTTGTGTAAAGCGTCCTTTTCTGAAGCTTTCATAGAGGCTGAAGTTCTAGGTTATTTTGGTTAATCTCCCTAAAATTTTAATTCCTGCTTGTCTTTATAGGAGGAGCTCACAGTCATTAAAAATGTCTGGTATTTTCCATTAATGCCCCATGTTTTCAGTTGGTTTTATGTTTGGCAAAACCTGTCGAAGAGAATACATTTTTTCAACCTTTTTCTCTACCTCAGGCTGCAATATTTAGAAGGCTTTGGCAAAAATGGCCCAAAGGTCTGAAAGAAAAGAGGTAGTTTTTCCAATGTTACCTTTTTCCAGTCATTTCTTTGAAAATTCTAACCAGAGTTTGAACCAGGAGCTTGAATGTGGCAGACAGTTGCCATATGGTCAGAGAAGTGTATATATTTTTTCTGTTCCTATTTTAGCATCCTAAACCTCAGAAAAATCATGATTTGCAAGTATCTGTCCAATTTTTTTCAGGGACTTTGGCAGTAACATTACATCTTCACTGTACAATCTTCATTATGGCATAGATCCTTGATATATCAACTGCTCTGAGAGCGTCCCAGATGCAGAGCTGAGTTCCACTTAGGAGAATTATGAAACAGGAGTATTAGCAGCTGGCATCTTCCCTTGGGTCTAGGGAAGTTGTACTGAGCGTCAGGAAGAGATCCTGACTTCCAGTCTTAAGTCTTTCACCAAATTATATTTTTATTCCTGTGTATTTTACACCCGTTTTATTAAGCCTTAGCAACCGGGCAAATACCATTTCCCTTTCCCCCCCCAAATCACAAATGCAGTAACAGTGAGGTTGAACAAAGCCACTTGTGGCAGAATAGAGTATGGGGCCTTATGCCTGCAATGTCTCTCCTAACAGATATGGTACAAAATAGGACTAATAGAAATTACAGCTATTAGCTGCTCTAATGTGAAGAACCCTTCCCATTTGCCTCTTGCTTTATCTGTCACCCAGAATTAGGGAAATGCTTTGGCCATTCCTATTGCAATCCATAGCACTGAAGGGCTATGAGATAAGGGCACTCTAGGTCTTCATGTGCTAGTTTAGTGCTACCATTTTGCGTCGGGATTTGTTTCAGACACTATTCTGCCTTTTGTTTTCAGGTATTGATCTAGGACTCTGGAGAACTGGGTAGTAGTTCTAACTGCTACAGACTTCATATGTGATATTTGGCAGGGCTGTCATAATGCATATGCACAAGGGAGTTGAATTACAGTTACTCAGGCAACCTTAATTCTTGCATTGTCTTATTTTTAAGTCCCTGACCTTTGTAATATTAATTTTTTTTTAGTGGTTTTTAAAATGCTAGTATATAGGGAAATAATCTGCTCGCACATCTCAATCCTTTCCACGTAGACATTTATTCAGGACGTTAACAGGTCTCTTGCATTTTGTACCTGAGGGTTATTTCTTTCAAAATTGTCCTAGAACTAGAGAAAAAGCTCCCTCTTCTGTTGTAATGTTCGGAGGCTAAAACACAAATACTGTTATTGCTGTTACTGTTTCTTAATATTGGTAGAATCATTGTGCTTGCTCAGTGCCTTTTGTGGATGTAAGAGCGCTTTCTTTATTCCATTTTTACACTGTTTTTATACTTGCTGCTGTTGCAGGTGAAAATTGCATATGTGAACTTTGTTAATCACTGTTATGTGGACACTGAGGTGGAAATGAAGGAAATTTATGCCAGTAACCACATTTGGAAATTATTTGAGAACTTTCTTGTTGATATGGCAAGGGTAAGTTTTATGAGGCATTAAATATTACAGTATGCACATTTATGACAGCTGAACTGGCAATAACTTCCCTGCTTGAACGTCATATGTTTTATTAACCATTTTTTTCAGATGCAAGAGAGAATGAAACAAATTGAGTCTTATTTAATAGTTCATAATTTCTGTCACATTTGCCTTATAATTTAACCTGCATATTTCTAGCACCCATCATCCTTCTTGTAAGAAAAATATATCATTTGGATATATTTTGTGTTTGTGAAACTGTTCATCTCTGCAAAATTCAATTAATAATTACTATATGTCTGCACTCCTTCCTCACAGTGTGGCTCATAGGTCAAGAGATTATATCTATTTCTAATGTTACTTTTTCCTTACCATCTTGGTTCTTATTGGCTGACTCATTCTACTGCCATCACTCCTAACCTCTCTCACATTCAGATTTTGATACAGCAGCTATCCATAACACTGTACTCTTTAGGTTCATAATTTTTTCTTCATTAAAGAGTCTGTGTGATCAGGCTATGTGATGTCATTGCTGGACATTTGCTTCCTTGTGCCTTGCCCAAATAAATTTCTTGGTGTCACTTGGACTGACTTTAACTATATCCTAGATTGTCGTGACTGATGTCCTCTGCTCATGAGAGATTAGGAAGATAGACTATTAGCGGTGTTTTGCAGATTTGGGAAGATTACGATGCCCTAACAGAGACAAGAGGGAATTTTATGCTACCTAGTAGTTATAGTTATGTTGAGCATCCCTTTTCTGAAACTCTTTCACAAAGGAATAACAGCCTCCTACTAATTCTAGCTAATAGAGTTTAATTCAAGTGACGGATGAGCAGGTTTTTAATACTGAAGGTGCTGGATTTGGTTTTTGATCCTGAGCAATGGTTTGGAGGTGGGAGTTGTTACACTGTTGAAATGTATCTTTGTACTGGATTCTTGGCTTTGTCCCATACGTACTTCCTTAATTTTTATGAGCACTAAGTTCTCACTCATTGCATTTTTACTTTTGTTTAAATTAAAAAAGAGAAAGGAAAGAAAGGGAAAGGACCTCAATTAAATCTGCTGTGGGCATTTACAACAAAGTGGTAGTGTATCATAAAATAGTTTCTTTGAAACCTATCAGAAGAAAATAGCACACTCCTTTAGTTTGATGATTTATAGCCTAAAGAAAAGTAAGTTCAGATATCTATGCAGTTCTGTAGGTGCTGGTCCTGTACATTTCTTTGTGAAATAGAAAACTAGAAATGCTTCCCCTCCTCCCCCTTGTTTCAGGGAGCAGGCTAATTCAAGAATGTCTGTGCTCTTCTCTCTTTTGGTGAAAGCCATTTTCATCAGTAATGAGACCTCTTCAAACCCTATACTACTGCTGTTTTGCTTCTGTAGCTGTTTCCTGCAGTGGAGGCCCTTCTGGGCAATTCAGGCTCACTAGAGAAAAGGATCAGAAACTTAGTTGGAGTGGGGATTCTTGGTTTTAACTTCACAGTTTTATGGCCAGCAGCATTTTTTCTTGTTTAATCCCTTTCCCATAGAAGGGTTGCCCTTGTTTGACATGGCACAGTAATGACCCTCTAATAGCAGCACCTACAAACCTCCCTTTGCATTTGTTCTGTAATAGGGCCATGCTCATTGCCCTTGGGTAGCTGAGACATGCACAGAAAGGCACTTCCTTATGCAGTTTTGCTTCACTGATCCAGAGATGCTTCAGTGGAACAGACCACTGATCAGGTTGAATGATGCCAAATGCTAGAGAGGTATCTTGATGCTTGTGACCAAGCTCATTTTCCCCTTGCCTTCTAATAAGAGAAAGTTAGACTCCAGGTCTGTGGAGGTGAATAGTGAGTGTATTATTAATGCAGTATGATGCCTGGCTTACCAACTGTTTTTTTATGTGCTGCTTTTTCTGAATAAGAATGGCAAAAGTGCACTTTTATTTTGCTGTCCTGCAAAGCCCTCTGGGTAGGTAGCTGTCTAATTAGTTCCTTTCATAGCCCAGTTAGCAGCTCCTTTTGTTTTTTCCCTCAGCTAAAAGAACATGTCAGAAGAGCTCTCTTCTGTTCCACTCTTTAGCTGAGCCCTCTGGGTAGCCAGATCTTCTAAATTATTGAATGTATTTGTTCAGGTCTGGGTTGTTTTTTTTTGGGCAGTGGCAAGTCTGAGTCCACATGTTGTAAATACATCAGCTTTATGGCGCTATGAAAATTGATAGGATGCTCTTAGCTTCATGAATGGATGTTACAATATCTTTCTAAGCATTTAGAAGAAGATCTCTTTGATCCTCTGTGTTCCGGTGAGCTAAAAGAGCTGCTACTGGGGGGAAAATGCTTTTCTTTTAGCTGCTATGGAATGGCTACCAGTGGTGAGTCTGGGAGCTTTGTGTCTGTTATTAGAGAGTGCTAAGGTAGAAGATGGACAGAGTTATCCTCAGGCTGGATTTTGAGATAGTTACCAGTTTTATCAGTTTCAAGATCCACTAAAGAGATGCTTAGTCCTTAAATGCAATACATCCTCATCACTGAAGTACGTCACAATGTAGGTGCTAGGAACGCTGTTGGTGACACTGGTTGCCAAATGCATCTGCCCTTAAAAAAAAAGACAGATTGGTTTGCCTCATTTTTATGTTAATGACTTCTATCATCCTCCTTTTCTTTTCACCTGAGGGGGGAGGATTGTGTACCAGGTGAGGTGGGTGCAGTTTAGCAAGATGCTTCCCTCATCTGCATGTGGGCCATTCTGTAAGCCATCAATTGCATTCTGAAAAGGATTAAAGAAGGAGCTGGAATCTGACAGCTGCGAAGTCACTGCTGGCTTTCTTTGCTGAATCTCTAAAGCATTATTCATGTGAATTTGGGTCCCAAAGCCTCTTAAGGGTTTTTTAAACACTGCTTTCTTAATCCTCAGCTTCATTTCATGCATTTCAGGTTTTTCCTTCTGTTGGGAAACATCTTTGTCTTTCCCAAAGGGCAAAGGGATAAAAGCAGGGAAGGAAGGGCCATCATTATATTACAGAGCAGTGGGTTTTTCAGACATATTGGGAGAGGGTGGAGTCCCATGCCCCTTGCCCCCAACATGATTTTCTGCTTTTCAGACAAGTGAGGAATAAATCTTAAGAGCAATTTGCAGTTTAGTTTTGTAAGTTTTTTAATTCACCATGCCAGCACTGTACTGCCCTGTTTTCCTGCTGGGATTGCAAACATGAAGCCTCAGAGCTACTGGTTCCAGCAGAAATCAGCATGCAGATTAATTAAAGGCAGAAGAACATCAAGAGGTTTTTAGTTCTGTGAACTTTTCAAAAAGTTTTGATTCATAACTGAATCTTTATTTACCTCCACAAGTGTTATTGGAGAAATGTCACCAGTGGGCTTATTTTCTCAGTTTTATGGCATAGCAACTGTTGCTCTTCTGTCTACTGAGGGCACAGACAGAAGTGCAGCTCCCCGATGTAACTGAGAATGCTTTGCAAGAAGCAGTGTGAGTTGCAGATGATCCCCCGGACTAAACAGTTCACTGTTAGTTCCAGGGATGAGGAGAATCTATCTCAGGGGTGGGCAAAATATGGCCCGCGGGCCAGATGCAGCCTGCGAGGCCATTCTATCCGGCCTGCGGGGCCCCTAAAAATTTTAGAAAATTATTATTTATCTGCCCTTGGTTCCTGTAAAAAATGACAGGAACCAAGGGCAGTAGGACCCAGAGGAAGCCTTGTGGGCTCCCACAACAGCAGGTTCCCCTCCCCCCCCC